GAAATATATCTAAAATGGAAATGAGACTAAAATAATGGGAAATATATACAAATTTTACAATAATTGATTTTAGCAGTAGGATAAAACTATTTTTTATGGATTTTTGTCAATATGAATTATCTGTTTTTTCATTATAATTTGTATTGCCATAGTGGAGATAGACTACAACTTATTGCACTTCACTATATCCAAAATTCAGATGAAAATGTTTCCTTGTTTGTCAGACATAAATATATTAATCCTAAAGGTACTCCAAAATAGAAAGATATGTAAGGAAAAGAAAAAAAGAAAGAAAGAAAGAAAGAAGAGCAACAAATTTTTTGGAAAAAATAATTTATATAGAATAAGAGAAAACTAGCAATTATAAATTTTTGCTGTAATAATTATCTTGTGTAATGACATTTAATGAAAATTAATAGCATAAATGGAAAAATATTGAAGTAGATATATATACACACACACACACACATGGAAGTAAAATCTCTCAATAGATTTTGCATTAACAAAGAAAAATCCACATACACAATGGGAAAATTAAGCAATATCTTCATCCAGTCATTCTAGACTCATGATTTTTGTTAAAACTATCATGGCCAAGCAATATGATATAATAGGAATTAAGAGTTTCATTTAAGAATTACTAAAGGTTCTTATATCAGTAGCACATACACAAAAATTAGAAAAATACAGCAATTAGCATGGTTCTTCTGCAAGGATGACATGAGTTCATGAAGTATTCCACATATTTTCATTTTCTAGGTGATCAAAGATGCCAACATGGAGTACCTTAGTTAGAAAAACTGTCTATTCACAGTCGAAGGAAAAAGATATTCCATAAGATAAATAAGGTGAAAGAACACATGTCCACAAAATGAGACCCATATAGAATACCTGAAGTAATACAATGGACTGAAGAAATAAATGACCATAACTAAAGAAAATAAATGAATGTATAATTTATGATAACACAAAACAAGATCAAGAAGAGAGAAATTAAAATAACAGTAGCCAGTATACATCTTTCAATAATATCTTTAAATAGCAATGGCCTCAACTCTCCAGTCAAAGACAGAGACTAACTGAATGGATTAAGAAACAAAATGCATCTATCTTGTTGTCTACAAGACATTCATCTGACCTTTATTTTAGACAAAAACTTATAGTATAAAAGGATTGAAAAAATTCAAGATAATGGCACTAAGAAACAAGTAGGCATGGCTATCCTAATATTTGACAAGATAGACTTCAAATTGAGATTAATCAGAAAAGATAAACAAAGTCACTTATTTTGGATCAAGGGACAGTTGACCATAAACATTATACTAATGAACCAACACCACCTGTGTACTGGCGGCCTGCTGGAACCATCCAGCTCACATAGTTCTTTTTATGCTTGAACCTGTGGCCCTTTGGGTTCCAGTCACCAATGCAACCCACTTCCATGCTGTCAGCCTTATAGAGCGGACAGCCTTTTCACAAGCCCCCCACTTAAAACAGGATTTTGGGGTCAATGAGTCTTTCATCTCAGCTATCATCCTTGCATTAGGGTTGGCCACCACCACTGCAGTAGCTATCACCCAGTCCTCCACTACTGTGGAGACACTCAATGAGGCTGTTTCCAAAACCTCCTCTACCTTTCACACTCAGTCCCTTATCAATCAGCATCTTCACCAGGCAAATAATGTGTTACAACAACAAATTGATCTCTTAAGTAAAGAGCTGGCAATTATCAAAGACATGGCTCTGCTAGCTTTAGGTTACTTTGTCTCACCGCCTATAAAGTACAGAATATTACTGAAGCGTGCCTACAACTCACGCACTATATTCACGGCCACTGGAATCAAAGGTTTCTTAATTACTCTATATTACTAAGTAATCAAATCATTGCTCTAAATTATACCCACGTCCCCATGCTGGACATAAATTCAGGGTTCTTAGAGAAAATCTGGTCTAATCTAAAAGCACTGTTTGACCCATCTTTGATAGTCACCTACCTACTCCTGACAGGCATAATTATTTTTCTCTTTCTACTTCTTAAATGCCTTGTTCTTCATTCCCGCAGTAAAAAAAAAATCAATCACTCCGTTTATCAGGCCCTTAGAGCAATACAAGAAGATGATTTTAACCCACCCTATGCAGCCCAACAGACTTGGCTTGCACAAATATACGAGGCCTCCTACAGATAATTCCCCACCTCAACTAATCCCCCAGGATGATACCCCTTGGAGGGCTGGTAGTCAATGACGGGTAAGCTCCTGTTCGGCTGAATCAACCTAAGACAGGACATGGGCGTGTATGTCCATGCTCCAATGATGGGTAAGGTTCATGCCCGAATAGGACAAACTAAGACAGGCACAGTCCATGATCCTGGGGTCATCCCGAGATGGAGCTGCCTACAGGCTCTCACTGGACAGTCATTTTTAAAGAAAAAGGGTAGAAATGTAGCAGCAGGCCTCCAAAGATGGTGCAGACCCAGAGCCCTGGGATTCAGTGAGAATTCACTTCACTTCTTGATCCACAAGTAGCCTGCCAAAAGGAGCCCACGTCTCCGTACCCTGCTCTTGAGCCCAGTGACTGCTGACAGACTGCATGGCATGGACCAATCGGAAAATGATACACTGACTAAAGGGATTTGGGGGCAGAGAAAAGGGAAAAATAAGGCCTGCCCCTTCCTGTATTAAATGAGCCTGCAGCACCTCGCCTAGTGCTTGCTTCTACCTGACTCCCTGGGTCTGTGCCTCATGACTCTGCACCTCTTGCCCCCCCAATTGGCAGGGGACCCGATCCAGGTTAGGGTCTTCACAACTGGCTTGAGGAGAACCTGCAACAGTAACTTAGTTAGCAAAACTGTCTATCATAGTCGAAGGAAAAAAATATTCCATAAGATAAATAAGGTGAAAGAACCCTTGTCCACAAAATGAGACCCACATAGAATACTTGAAGTAATACAATGGACTGAAGAAATGAATGACCATAACTAAAGAAAATAAATGAATATATACTTTATGATAACACAAAACAAGATCAAGAAGACAGAAATTAAAATAACAGTAGTCAGTATACATCTTTCAATAACAACTTTAAATAACAGTGGCCTCAACTCTCCAGTCAAAGACAGAGACTAACTGAATGGATTAAGAAACAAAATGCATCATTTTTGTTGTCTACAAGACAGTCATCTGACCTTTATTTTAGACAAAAACTTATAGTAAAAGGATGGAAAAAATCCAAGAAAATGGCACTAAGAAACAAGTAGGTATGGCTATCCTAATATTTGATAAAATAGACTTCAAATCAAGACTAATCAGAAAAGATAAACAAGGTCACTTATTTTGGATCAAGAGACAGTTGACCATAAACATTATATTAATGAACATATATGCACCAAATTCTGGTGCAACAAATTTCACAAAACAGTACTACATGACTCCAAGACACAGATTAAACACAACTTAGTAATAGTAGGTAACTTCATTCTCCAATCTCTCCAGTATAAGTGGTTAACTGGACAAAGGATAATTAGAGAAACATCTGAAGCAAATGATAAAAAAAAATGGATCTAACATTCATCTATTAAATATTCCACCCAAGCACCAAAGAATACATATTCTACTCAGAAGTCTACAGATTTCTCTAAAGCTGACCAAATATTGGGATGCAAAAGAAACTTCAAAATCACAAGATAATTTTAAAAATTCCATATATTCTTTTAAACCAAAATGTGAAAGAGCTTAAAATCAATAGCAAAAGAAGCTCAAGTAGGTACATGAACTCATGGAAAATAAACAAGACATTCCTGAAAGATGAATCTGTCAAAGAAAATATCAAGCATTCCTGGGAGTAAATAAAAATAATAATATGACACTACACAATCTCTGGGACATATTAAAAGCAGTCCTAAGGGGGAAGTTTATAGCTCTAAGTGATTACACTAAACATCAGAAAGAGCACAAATAAATGAGTCAATGGTACAGCTCAATAGTCTGGAAATGAAGAATAAATCAAACCCAAACTGAAAATAAGAGAAGAACTAACAAAATTCAAAGCAGAGAATAGTGAAATAGAAACACAGAAAAAAATACAAAGAATCAGTGAATATAAGAGCTAGTTCTTTGAAAACATAAACAAGATGGACAGATGCTTAGTCCAGTCAACAAAAAGAAAGTGAAAAATAAAATCAACAAAATAAGACGTAAAAGGGAAAGCTTCACAATAGATGCCAAAATGATGCAAAACATTGAAAGGGAATACTTTAAAGCCTAAACTCACTTAAATTGAAAAATATAAAAGAGAGGCTGGAGAGATGCCTCAATGGTTGAGAGCACTGACTGCTCTTGCAGAGGACCCGGGTTTAATTCCCAGCACCCACATGGCAGCTACAAACCATCCTTAACTCCAGTACCAGGGGAATCCAAATCCCTCTTCTGACCACCACTGCATTGCACAACATGGGTGGGCTCACATATATGGAGACAATATACTCATACATATAAAACAAAAATAATAAAATAAAATATAAAAGAAAAGGGTGAATTTCTGATTTCAAGAAAGCTACCAAAGTTAAATCAAGGTCAACATCTTGAACAGACATATAATAAATAAGGAAATCAAAACATTAGTATAAATACTCTTAAATAAAAACTCCCACGTTTGGATGGATTTACAGCAGAATTTTACCATACCCTCAAAAAAGATATGCAATTAATAGTACTTAAATTATTAAAAAAAAAGAATTCCTATGCTCCTTCTATGATGCAAGTATCACTCCAATACTCAAACCAGGGAAAGAAACAACAAAAAAGTAAGCTATAGGCCCATATTCTTTTATGAACATAGAGGCAAATAATCTCAAAAAAAAAAAAAAAACAACCAAACCAAACAAAACAAAACAACAACAACAAACCTTGAAAATCATGTACAGGCACATATCAAAAAGATCATCTAAAATAATCAAGTTGGCTTTATCCCAGAGCTGAAGGGATGGTTCAATATAGGAAAATCAATAAAATGTAATAAATAATATAAAAAGACTCAAAATAACATGGTCTGATCAGCTGGACACTGTGGCCCATGCCTTTAATCCAAGCAGAAGCAGAGACAGCCAGAACTCTGTGAGTTCAAGTCCAGCCTGTTGTACATAGTGAGTTCCAGGGCAACTGGGGATACAGGGAGATCCTGTCTCAAAAAGACCAAAATAAATAAATAAATAAAAATAACATGATAATCTCATAGACACAGAAATGTTTTTTGTTAATATCCTCAACATAACTGAAACTATATACCAAAAACCCAGAGCCCATATCATTCCAAATTGAGAAAAAAAAAAATTAAAGCATTCCCACCAAAATTAGGAACCAGCCGAAGCTGTCTTCTGTCTCCATTTCTTTTTATTGTTTTGCTTGAAATTCTAGTTAAACAAGTTAAGGATATTAAAGGGGTGTTAACTGGAAAAGAAGAAGTCAAATTGTACTTCTTTGCAGATGATAAGCTATTACAAATAAGAGAGCACTAAAATTCCAACAGGAAACTTCTAGAAATGATCAACACTTTTAACAAATTTAACAAGTTATAAAGTCAATTTACAAAAATCTGAAGTATTTTTATATACTCTAATTGCAAGCAATTAGAGGAAGAGTTCAGAGGAACACTTCCATTCACAATAGCCTCCAAAGATTAATGTCTAGGAATAAACCTAACCAAAGGCAATAAGGACCTATTCAACAACAACAAAAATCTTTGAAGAAAGAT